AAATTTTTTTTTCTTCCCCTGGCCAGTTTGGCTCAGCAGTTAGAGTGTCGGCCCACGGTCCAGAGAGACGAGGGTTCGGTTCCCGCTAAGGGCACGTACCTCGTTGCAATTTGTCCCCGGCCCTGGTTGGGGTCATGTGGATGGCAACCACACGATGTGTCTCTCTCACGTCGATGTTTCTCTCTCTCTCCCTCTCTCTTCCTCTCTCTCCCTCCCTTTCTGTCTGAAGATGAATGCAAAGAATGTCCTCAGGTGAGGATAAAGAAAAAAAAATATTTTTTTTCTTTATTGATTTTAGAAAGAGAGGAAGGAAGAGGGAGAGAGATAGAAACATCTTATCTATGAGAGAGAACATCGATTGGCCGCCTCCTGCATGTCCCCCACTGGGGATCTGGCCTACAACCTGGGCATGTGCCCTGAGAATCGAACCTGTGACCTCTTGGTGCATGGGTGGACGCTCAACCACTGAGCCACACCGGCCAGGCTGTCTTTTTTTGTTCTATTTGACAACCTAAGCGATAAGAGGTCAGTGCCCCTGACTAAATAGGTATTGCATGTTTTAAAAATTCTTTCAGCACACCATTTGAAAATCGCCGATGTAAAACAATGATAATTTAGCCCTGGCCAGTGTTGCTCAGTGGTTAGAGTGTTGGCCCCACCATGGGAGGGTTGCCAGTTCAATTCCTGGTGAAGGGCACTTACCGGTCAGGGCATGTGCAGGAGGTAACCAATCGATGTGTCTCTCTCATATCTATGTTTCTCTCCCCACCCCCTCCCTTCCACTCTCTCTGAAAAGCAATGAAAAAAATATCCTCTGGTGAGGATTAACAAAAAAAACAAAAAACATAACAAGAATAATTTATTTCGCATGGTTTCTGTGGTCAGGAATTCAGGCAGAGCCCAGCCAGGAGCTTGTTTTGCTCTACAGTTTCAGACCTCGGCTGGAAGAATCTAACGCTGGGAACTAGAGTCATCCGAAGACTTGTTTCACTCACATGCCAGGCGGTTGACATTGGCTCTTGGTGGGGACACGCATATGTGACCTGGGCTTCCTCACGACATGGTGGCTGGATTCTGAGGGAGCAAGGAAGCCTGGTGGCCTCCCCACTGCCTTTATAACCCAACCTAGCGGTCACACAGTGTCACAGCTTCCATTTCTACCCTTGTTTGAGGCATTCACAAAGGTCTGTTGAGGCTCACGGGGAGGGAACATAGACCCATCTCATGTGGGGGAATGTCAATGTCATAATGCAAGAAGAGCTTATGGGATAGGACAGGTTAGTGTATCTTAGGAAAATACAATCTGCCTCACAGTGTCTTTTAATTTTCTCACTTTTAAAATCAGATTCCAAAAGTGACATATGCTCCTTACAAGAAAACCATTTGAATAAAAATCCAGAATTTATACACCAACGTACATTTCCTCTCCTACTTTACTCACTGTATAAATCCTACCACCCAGAGATAACCACCATTAGATTGATGTGCATTTTTCCATACAAACTATATACATATATATATACTGCTTTAAAAAAAATAAACTATATACATTATTTTGCATCTTGCTGGTTTTACTTACAATGTGATGAACAGAGTTCCATCATAGTATGTATAAAAATACCTAATTCTAATGCTGGCTGTCATAGTATGGCTGCACTGTAACTCATTTAATGTCTTCTATTAATAGCCATTTAGGTTCTATTTTTGTTGTTGTTAATCCTCACCCGAGGATATTTTTCCACTGATTTTTAGAGAGTGGAAGGGAGGGGGAGGGGAAGAGAGAGAGAGAGAGAAATATCAATGTGAAGGAGACACATCAATTAATTGCCTTCCACATGACCCTGACAGGGGCTGGGAATCGAACCTGCAACCCAGGTACATGCCCTTGACCAGGAATCAAAATCGAGACCCTTTGGTCCACAGGCTGGTGCTCTAACCACTGAGCAAACTGGCCAGGGCTTAGGTTTTAATTTTTAAAAACTATTAAAAATTATTGATACAATGAATATCCTTATACTAGGTCATGTAGGGAAGTATCTTAAAAATAGAATTGTTCTGTTCAGAGAATATTCAGGACACTATTTTTAATACAAGAGTATTTTTTTAAAAGGTTAGTATCATTGTTATAAGATAAATCTACATTAAGCAGGATATACATTTTTCTTTGCAGATGACAAACAGGTTTCTCTAACCTCCAGGTGAAGAACAGACACAAACATTTGTTCTTAGGTTTAGAAGACGCTTATAAGCTTGGAAGGGAACCTCTCATTTAAAAAATGATGAGTGACAGAAAGTAGGTGGTTTTGAACAGAGAGGCAAGTTTCCTTTTTCAGTGCATTTAGTTCGGGTTGATATGGAATTAAATGTGGATTCTTCAGAGCTCACCGGCCACTCAGAGGGAGCCTCATCAGAAGGTGAGAGCGAAGAGGAAACCAGCTAGAGGCAACAAAACACAGTGTCGTATGTGACCCCAAAGTGAATAATGACGACGACTGTATTGGCCATATAGATGTAATATATAGATATATAGTGGATTCCAATATTATGCTGGTGTCTTCCTGCCTACCTACTCATCCTTTGTTCACAGATGGCTAACCTGTCATTTTTTCTTGGGTTCTTTCCTCTTGCAGAGATGAGTTATTAAAAACTTTGCTAGAAATGAAGTTCCTACACATGCTACAACATGGATGAACCTTGGGGACACCATGCTAAGTGAAATGAGCCGGACAGTAAAGGACAGATACTGTCTGATTCCACTTATTTGAAATGTCTTGAAGAAATGAATTCACAGAGACATTGTAGAGTGGAGGTGACCTGGGCGGGGGGAGGGGAGTGGGGCGTACTGCCCAGTGGGCACAGAGTCTGGGGAGATGCACAGATTTTGGAAATAGATGCCAGTGGTGATCGCACAACCTGGTGCACGTAATTAATGCCCCTGAGTTGTGCACTTAAAAATGGTCAAAATGGCACACTTCATGTTTTATGTCTTTGCACACACACACCCTTCTTTGCTGGAGCAGGAGAGGTTGGGGCTCTGTCAGTGTTCCCATGGCTTTGCTTTCCCTTTTGTTTTTAAAATAAAAACTTCTATTTTTAGAGATTTTCACACAAAGACTCATGTGGGTGTGGGAAGTACTCCCAGCTGCCCTCCTATTTCATGGAAGCCTAGCAAGTTATTTAAATTTAGGAAATATGCCAGATTGGAAGTGGAGATCATTTAATCTCTCTGTATGTTAATTTAGTGTTTTTTCCCCCTGCAGACTGAGGCCCTGGAATCTTTTTTTTTTTATTATTATTAATTAATTTTTGTTACAGATGTTTCTCCTTTTTCCCCCCACTGATTCCCCCCTCCCCCTCCCTCCCTGCCCTGTCCCCAGTTTGTTGTCCATGTCCACTGTTCATGCATACATGCATATAAGTTCTGTGGTTTATCCCTTCCCCACCACCCCCCTATTTAGGGGATTGTCAGTCTGTACCCCACTTCTGCGTCTCTAGGACTACCCCATTCCTCAGACTGTTATGTTCATTATATTCCACAAATAAGTGAGATCATATGAAACTTGTCTTTCTCTGTTTGGCTTGTTTCACTTAGGATGATACTTTCCAGGTCCCTCCATGTAGTCTCAAAGGATAAGAGATCTTTCTTTCTTACAGCTGCGTAGTACTCCATTGTGTATATGTACCACAACTCAAAAGCTTCTGCACAGTGAAAGATACAATCATCAAAACGGAAAGGCTACCCACTGTATGGGAGAGCATAATTGCCAATGATATATCAGATAAGGGGTTAATTTCCAATACATATAGAGTACTCATACAACTCCACAAAAGGAAGACAAGGAATCCAATTAAAAAATGGGCAGAGGAACTAAATAGACACCTCTCCAAACAGGACATACAAATGGCTAAGAAACATGAAGAAATCCTCAACATCACTAATCATCAGAGAGATGCAAATTAAAACAACAATGAGGTATCACCTCACACCTGTCAGAATGGCTGCCATCAACAAATCATCAAACAACAAGTGCTGGCGAGGGTGTGGAGAAAAGGGGACTCTAGTACACTGCTGGTGGGAATGCAGACTGGTGCAGCCACTATGGAAAACAATATGGTGTTACCTCAAAAAATTAAAAATTGAACTTCCATTTGACCCAGTGATCCCACTTCTAGGAATATACCCTAAGAAGCCTGAAACACCAATCAGAAAGAATATATGTACCCCCATGTTCATAGCAGCACTATTTACAATCGCTAAGATCTGGAAACAGCCCAGGTGCCCATCAGTAGAGGATGGCATCTTTCTTCAACCCCAGCCCCGCAGAGGCGGTTCTAAGCGGTCCTGAAGGCGCGTAGTTCCCCCTACACCTCAGCGCCTGAGGGCGCTTTCCCGGCAAAAGAATTTCACTTCCTGAGAGCCTGAGGGTCACCTGGTCGGGTGGCCAGTCGCACTTCGGGTCCTGGGGCGCAGTCTCAGCCTGCTGTGGGGATGCTCTGTGCCTGGCCCGAGGCACGGGTGCAGCGTGGGGCTCCCCGGCTCCCGGCCGCGCTCGCCCCCGCGTGCAGGCGTGGACTGCAACCCTGCGACACCGCGGCAGAGGGTAGGCTCGTGTCCCCACCCCCGCGGGGCACCCCAGCTGGTTGCATTGAACTAGTTGTCGAGGGCAGCAGCGCAGTGGCTGGGTGAGGCCAGGCTGAAGGCTGGCAGACCCTCCTCCATTACACTGCCCCCAGTCCCCTCCCTCCCGGGTCCAGATGCCGGTCCCCTTCTTGTGGGCCTGGGGCCGCGGTCTGGGAGTGCGGAGCCCCTAGGTGTGCGGACGCCGACGCTGGAGGAGCGGGAGGCTCTGCAGCCCAGCCCCCAGCACCTCCACGTGGACCCAGACTCGTGGGTGCAGGCGTGGCTGGGGTGCTCACGCCTGGGGGTGGCCCCGCCCTGCCAGCGGGACAGCTAGGACCTGCACAGGGACACCTTTCAGCTACGTGGCTGCGGGGCGGGGACAGGGCGGGCGGAGTGCTGGGAGCTCGCCACCCGGAGCAGGTGAGGGCGGGCCGGGCTGGTGGGGGGCGCGCAGGGTGGGCTGGGGGCGGCTCCTCTCCCTGGAGGAGCTCTGTCCTGTCCGAAGGGGGCCCGGCCTGGGGCACGGTTGCCCCTTGCTCAGGTAGACCAACCCTAGCTCCCCAGTCACCTGCCGTGCACGCACGGGGCAGCGCGTCTGCACACGGGCACTTGGACCCACGTGGGCCCAGAGTTTTCGAGAGCTTGGTACAGGGCCAGAGGTGGGGGCTGTGGGCTGCCCTGTACCGCGTTCACGTAAGTGGGGGTCCGCTGACCGCGATGCTAAGGGGGTTGGGCTTTGGCTCCAGAGCAGGTCTCAGTAAATCTTGGGGTTCTTTCAGGTGGGCTGAGGGCCCCAGCAGAGGGGGATGTGTGAGGACTAGCTCTCCATCTGCATGGGGCAGCTGGGCCAAGCTGGGTTGGGGACCTTTCTGGGGTCCCTCTGCACTCTATTGTTTCTGCAGCCCACCAAATCCCTGCAATCTCCCAGCCTCTCTCTGAGCACACAGTGACCCCCCCCCCGCCCTCCCCCCTTTGCTTTGAATACTCCTCAGTGAGCTTTCTCTCTTCCTTGCCTTCCCCGGCCACTATCATGGGTCATGTTCTCACACACCACAAGCTCTACCCCATATCTGAGCTCTCATTCTCCTTTTCCTCCTCCTTCCAAAGGGCCTGGAGCCCCGTCTCAGTTCCAGCCCTCTGCTGGGGAGAGGGGCACGCAGAGCGGCACAAGGTCCCTGCCCCATGGACAGCTGGTCCAGTGACAAGGGAAGGCCCTGCTTCTCCGATGAGAACCCAGCCCGATAATGATGCCGCATCCTTTTCTTACTCCCCCTCTCCACTCCCGCTCCCCTTCTGGCCCTGCTCCAGGGGGACCTCCAGCACAACCTCCTACACATCCCTCCCGCTCCGCTCATGGTCCAGCCTCACATTCACTCACCACCGGAACCAGTTCTAGTGAGCGCCGGGGCCTTGCCCTGGGCACGGGTCCAGAGGATGAGACAGGAGTGCAAAACTGTCCTCAAGGGCTGGGCAGCGGCCTGTCTCCCACGCTGAAGGAGCTCAGGGAAGGAGGAGAGAGCTGGGGGCAGCCGTGGCTTTAGGGCAGCACAGTTTGAGCATAGGTAGCCTCTGAAGGATGAGGGGATCTGTTTGGGTACCAAAGAGGGAGGGGCATGGGTTTCCAGATGAGGTAGAACAAGGTTGCTTCCTCAGCCGGGCCACCATCTGGTAGAGGAAGGATGGGCCATCAGGAGAGAGGGAAGGAGGAGCCGCCAGACTGAGGATGGTGTTTGCCTTCCAGAGGGGTCTCCCCACCCAGACCACCAGGACCCCCGTTTTCACGAGAATGGCCCAGATGTCTCAGGTGCAGGAACTCTTCCACGAGGCAGCCCAGCAGGTAGGCCTGGGCGGTGGGGGCCTGGAGGGAACTGCGGAGGCCTGTGAGCAAAGGGTCAGCAGACAGGAAGCTGAATGGAAACATTACAGTGCGCTATTTTAGAAGTAATTATGTCGGAAGTTTATTTTGGTATTCCAGCTTCATCGAGAAAATATGATAGCCAACTCAACCATCTGTATGCAGAACCTCTTATTTGCTATTATTTAGAGTGGATTTGGAATGCTGCCCCCTCCCCGCCCCCCGCCGCTGTGGAGATTATCCATGAACAGAGTGAGGACTCAGATCATATGAACTTTTTATATTGAATCAAACCAATGTAAGAAGGAAAGTTTATCTCTGAAAAACTTATGTATGCTGATGCCAAATGGACTTCTGGATTCCCTGGTGTCTGCAGGGCCTTTTCCCCCTTTACTTTATCCTCTTCCTGTTGATCACTAGTTATAGTAAATGTTCACGGTAGCTATGGAATTGACGTGGCTCCCCCAAGAAATAGTCAATCCCTTAAACAATAAAAATAAAAAACAAAAAGACGTAAGTGTTTTCAGCATCTTTGCCAGTTAGTGGTCACTCAGCCTTGACGTTTGGTCCCTTGGACTTCTCTTGTGCTTTGCAGAGCGGGGCAGGAGGGTTTCTGAGATTTATAGCAGGGGGAATAAGCACCCCCCACCGAGAGGAGAGAATCAGCTCAAGGCCTCACACAATAGCAAGAGCTGGGTCTCGAGCTGGGGGGTCCTGAGCCGATGGGCAGAGGCTGGTGAGGCCGACGGGGGGACTCCAGACTGGCAGGGTACCTCCTGCATGGACATGAAGACATGTACACAAGCACAGGGAGAAGCAGCATGGTGGTAGGCAGGTGATGAGTGCTCCCTTCCCCCGCAGGCCCAGGGCTGCAATCCTGCTCCCCATACATAGCCCTGGAAGTACGCAAGCTGCTTAGAAGTGAGTGACTGGAAGCCGAGGGGCTCCTCACAGACATTCAGGACTCTTGCCCAGAGCCGTGCGCTCCGGGGAAAAGGTCTGCAGCTTCACTCTTGTGGGGTCCAGGACCCTCAGAGAGACCTTGATTTGTCAGGGGTCTTATTTTCTTTAGCTTGCCCAGTCTCCCACCATATTTCCCATGCATTTTCTTGGGGTGTGTAAACTACACAAGTGTTTATGCACTTAACATATATTTGTGGACTACTTCCTAAATAATAGGTTGTGTGTTAAGTATGAAAAGCATACTCAGGGGCTCGCCTCGGCAGCACATATACTAAAATTGGAACGATACAGAGAAGATTAGCATGGCCCCTGCACAAGGATGACATGCAAATTCGTGAGGCGTTCTATATTTTTAGGGCGCGTACGTTGGTTGCAGTTTGTCCCCGGCCCTGGATGGGTCATGCGGGTGGCGACCACTCGATGTGTCCCTTTCACGTCGATGTTTCTCTCTCTCTCTCTTCCTCTCTCTCCATCCCACTCTATCTGAACAAAAAATGGAAAAATGTCCTCTGGTGAGGATAAAAAAAAGAAGAAGAAGAAAAGAAAAGCATACTCAGATGGACAATGTGAGGCCCTTGTCCCCAGGGATTCCAAAAAAGGGAAACAACTAAGACATGCTTGGTTCGCCTCTGAGATAGGCTCTGTTAAGGCTCAGCTGGAATGCTCTCCCCTGTTTAAAGCCTTCATTGGCGCCCTGTGTCCACCGCCCGGTGTTCACACACCTTCGCCCAGGCCCCAGCGTTTTCCTCTTTGTGCCCCATCTTCCAGCCAAAGCTCACCGTTCCCCAGGCTCTGTGCTCGTATCTTCCCCCAGGTTGTTCTTTGCTGATACTTCTCACTACATTCCTTTGTTGCCAGAACCCTCCAAGTACCTACAGCAGTGCCTGGCATCTAGGTGGACAGTGTTCGCTGACTCACCAGATGAACAAGTAACATAACCACAGCCCTGGCCGGTTTGGCTCAGCGGTTAGAGCGTTGGCCTGCGGTCCTGAGAGACCCGGGTTCGGTTCCCGCTAAGGGTGCGTACCTCGGTTGCAGTTTGTCCCCGGCCCTGGTCGGTTGTGCGGGTGGCAGCCACTCGATGTGTCCCTTTCACGTCGATGTTTCTTTCTCTCTTCCTCTCTCTCCCTCCCACTCTACCTGAACGAAAGATGGAAAAATGTCCTCGGGTGAGGATAAAAAAAAAAGTAACATAACCACAGGACAAGTGAAATTGCCACAAGTACCCTAAGAGACTTGAGTTTTAACATGTGGTGGATGCAAAGGCCTCTGTGTCGCCCCTTCTCCGTCTCCCTCAATCTCCAGCACTGAGGGACCGGGCAGTGTTCCATGTCAAGGCCTTTGGTATTCACAGTCTAGACACCTTTGAATTTCATCCCTTTTTCTCTGTCTCCCTTGCACTGTCGTGTCCGAGGCATTTCTTGCCTGGGTCATTCATTTCCTCCTAACTTCGTTCTCTGCGATCCTTTTCTAAAACATCAATTTGTGCATTTGACGCCTCTGCCTGAAACCTTTCCACGGCTTCACAGCGCCTTCACGATTCAGCTCCGACTCTCTCCTCGGTGCCCGAAGCCCTCAGATCTGACTGATCACGCCTGCTCCTCCGCAGGCGCCATCGCGGTCCGGGCGCTGTGGCCTTGGATGAGCCTTTCTCCCCCGTCTCCCTTCAGGATGTGAACTCCTTACGCTCAGGGCCAGGTCCTACTCATTTCTGTGTCCTCAACACCTGCCCTGGGTCTCAGCACAGAGAAGATGCTCAGGCAGGGCTGGTTCTACGCAGCGGAGCTCCCAGCGTGGTTGGCAGTGGGCCTTGACGTTCTGGTGGACACAGAACCAATGGGGAAGCGGGGAAGCACGTCCCAGGCTGAGGGGTAAGAGAATGATAACAAGTACCGATTGGTGGGCACTCATGTACTGAACACTTAACATGCATTCCCTCATTTAATCTTCACAACACTATTCTGAAGTAGATGATGGCTGTTGGGTGTGACACATGAAAGACTGAGGCACTTGGAACCCAGGCATGTTCGTTGCCCAGATCCAAGCTTTCATCTTTTAGCTGTATGCCTCCTGCCCCAGTGGTTTGCACAAAGCCACCAGGTGGCAAGTCCAGGGCCTGTGTGGGGAAGAGATAGCAGTTGGGTGGCTATCATGTTTCAGGCCGAACTCTTGGAGTGGCTGGTCCTCCAGGAGTTTCCCACGGACCTTTTTCTAGCCTTACTCCAGTCCTGGGGGGCAGTTCTGCTAAGAGTTTTGGGGCCTGAAGGACGCGGGATTAAGAAGGCAATGCCCAGGGGGAAGAGAGCTGGTGGGTGTTATGCCAACCCTGTCAGCTCACATCTGCTCTTTTCTGGGTCACTGTGACAGGAAAGTGTCTCTCAGGAAATTTGGCCACAGTGGGGATGCTTGTGAGCTGGTGGAGAGGTGAATGAATGGATTCTTGGTTTGGCTTTCCTAGTCTCAGGACCAGATGTGTATGTGTGTGTGTGTGTGTGTGTGTGTGTGTGTGTGTGTGTGTGTGTGTTGGTCAGTAATAAGTGGGCCAGCTGGGAAGAGACTGTAAGTCTGAGGGTTCGTGGTGTGATGGTCAAGGGTACTTGCACTAGCTCTAACCTTTGTGACCTTGTGCTAGTTACTCGTTAAGCCTCCCCACCTATAAAATGGCCACAGTAATAGAACCTACCCTAAAGAATTACAAAGATTAAAAGAGATAATTTGTGTAAATATTTAGTATAGTGCTTGTTTAACAGTAAACATTCAGTAAATGTTGGCTGATAATAAAATTCGGGTAGGGAGTATTATTTGGTCCGTGTATTTGCTCCATGAGGTAGTGATATAAACAATCAGAAGGTTCAGTTGGCCAATAAGTGATGACTCAGCACAGCGAGGTGACGTAGAAGGCACATGGCAGGAGTCCCCGGTCCAGATTGGTTCCTGTGGCCAGAACCAGAGCGTGGGACACTGTCCAGGACAACCTCTGGGTGGGCAGTCCATTGAGGAGGACGGAATACTTTTTAGGCCTAGATGGGTCTAGGGTAGTTTAGGAATGTGTGTGTGTGTGTGTGTGTGTGTGTGTGTACCTACTGAACTTGTGATAGGTATGGATCTTGCTCCAGTAGCCTCAGTCCTCAGGCACTGCACTGATGTGTGTTGTGGTTTGGTGGTGAACTTTAAAAAAAAAATTTTTTTTTTCTTTATTGATTTTAGAGAGAGAGGAGGGGAGGAGAGAGAGATGGAAAAATCGATGAGAGAGAACATCGATTGGCCACCTCCCGCATGCCCCCCACTGGGGACTCAGCCCACATCTTGGGTATGTGCCATGACCGGAAATTGATCCGGTGACCTCTTGGTGCATGGGTTAACGCTCAACCACTGAGCCACACTGGCCAGGCTTGGTGGGGGTCTTGAACCTAGGAACCTGGGTTCCAAATTCTGACTGTGCCATTAGATGTGCTGAGCCCTTGGACAAGCTACTCAAGGGCTCCCAGTCTGTTTTCACAGCTGTGAGATGGGATGACTGTACCCGATTGTCAGGGTGTTTATGCCAATGCAGAAGGATCTGGCCCAGTGCCTATCACATGGGAGCACTAAATACAATGCACGTTCAGTGACTGGATGAAGCGTATATTACAGTGAAACCCAGTAGAGTAGGTTATTTGTGAGTCTGAGGCTGGAAAGCTAAGGAGCAGCTGGCACCTGAGGGAGGTGAATGGAAGACTAATGACCTTGGATTTCACACGACAGAGAGGACTGGGATGGACGTGGTGTGTCAGGAAGACTAAGCTGGCAGGAGAAAGCAGGTGGCCTGAGACAGGAGATGGCAGGGAGACGTGCTGTGTGAGATCTGAAGTCCAGCAGGATCAAATGTTTTGAGTGTTGGTAATAGTGAGAAAGTTCAGCTCGGCTTATGTACTGAGTGCCTATACTTGCCAGGATCTCTAGCTACTGCTAGAGATATTAAAACTGAAATCTCTTAATTACTATGGCATAAGGAATACCTCCAAGTAATCTGAGGGTTT